GAGACAGACAGACAGGAAAGTTCAAGGGGTGAAATAGATGCCCAGTTCTATATCAGCACAATTCATTGTAATATTTAAATGAGAAGAGGTGGGCAATCCGTTTGTGCCTATCTCTGCCTCCCCTAGAAACCGCCCACTTATTTAGCCCGAGCGGATCCAATCCTGGAAGGCAGGAGGACTGGAGGTGGAGGAATCACAGCTTTTAAAAGAGTCTCCAGCTTCTGATGTCATTAGGAATGAATAAGAGTGTACCAACAGTGGGTGGGAAGGAAGGAAGGAAGGAAGGAAGGAAGGAAGGAAGGAAGGAAGGAAGGAAGGAAGGAAGGAAGGAGGGAGGGAGAGAGGGAGGGAGGGAGGGAGGGAGGGAGAAGAAATAGGGAAGGGATGGAGGAAGGAAAGAAAGAGAAATAGGGAAGGAGGGAGAAGAAATAGGAAAGGGAGAGAGGAAGGAGAAATAGAGAGGGAGGGAGAAGAAATAGGGAAGGAAGGAGGGAGGGAGGGAGAAGAAATAGGGGAAGGGATGGAGGAAGGGAGGAAGGAGAAAGAGGGAGGGAGGGAGAAGAAATAGGGAAGGGAGGGAGAAGAAATGGGGAAGGAAGGAAGGAAGGAGAAAAAGAGAGAGATGAAATAGGGAGGGAGGAGGAATAGGGAGGGAGGAAGAAGAAATGGGGAGGGAGGGAAGGAAGGAAGGAAGGAGAAAAGGAGAGAGAAGAAATAGGGAGGGAGGAAGGAGAAATAGGGAGGGAGGGAAAAGAAATAGGGAAGGAAGGAAGGAGAAAAGGAGAGATGAAATAGGGAGGGAGGGAGGAGAAATAGGGAGGGAGGAAGAAGAAATGGGGAGGGAGGGAGGAGAAATAGGGAGGGAGGAAGAAGAAATGGGGAAGGAAGGAAGAAAAAAAAGGAGAGAGAAGATAGGGAGGGAAGAAGAAAAAATGGGGAAGAAAGGAAGGAAGGAAGGAAGGAAGACTGTCTCAGGGTTGTATGCAATAAAATGAAAAGAAAAAAACCCAATGTGTGCTAAGAAAGAAACAGCAACTGGAGTGGAGCATCTGTGCCGAGCAGACCAGATCAACAGTCAGCAACAATTTATTGCACACTGAAGTTTGCCCGGGTCACTTTTTTAAAAAAAAACATACCCAGTTTTATTAGGTGATAAAATAAGAGCAGGCGCTTCCCTGTCTCGGTGCAGTTGGTTGGATACTGGAGGGGCGGGTTTTCTCAACCTCGGCAACTTAAGGATGTGTGAACTTCAACTCCAAGAATTCTGGAAACTGAAGTCCACACATCTTCAAGTTGCCAAGATTGAGAAACCCCTGGCATAAGAGGTTAGTCCAAAGTTCCCAGGGATGTAATACCAAGACTCTAGATCGGTGTTTCTCAACCTTGGAAGCTTGAAGATGGGTGGACTTCAGCTCCCAGAATCCCCCAGCCAGCGCTGCTGGCTGGGGGATTCTGGGAGTTGAAGTCCACCCATCTTCAAGCTACCAAGGTTGAGAAACACTGCTCTAGATGGATATATTAGAAGCCAGGAGAGGGTAGCCACAGAGGAAAAACTCATTATTGCTTTCATCTCATGGGATCAGGGAGAAGCATATTTTTCTCCACTTACAGAAAAGTGAGTCCAGATTTCCCTGTAGAAAGCAAAGCTATGTTGCATGCCATTTTTCCAAAGTGCATCTCACAAGATTTGGTCTGCAGAACCATTGCTCTTAAAACAACCACCAAGACACAACCTCAACCTAAGTACCTAAAGGTGAGTGGCTGGTTTTATAAACTTGGTTTTCTAGCCTAGCCTGGACCAACGGTAACTAATTCTAGCACAAGTGCTGAACCATTTTGCATTCTTTTTGGTCAAATGTATGGGTTTTAGCTGAACGAGCAAACAAGCCAAGTAGTATCTTAGGACTAGCCAACTTTTCCCAACCTGGTGCTCTCCTACTAAGTTTGACTTCACTCCCATGATCCTAGACTGCTAAAGATTATGGGAAGTGAAGTCAAACAATCTTCAAAGAAGGTTGGCTAAAGGTCATCATCTATCATACTTTTAGAGGAATGTCCATCATTTGGAGTGTCTGAATATGTTTCTTCCCCAAGAGAGGCCCAAGATATGCCTCAATGGTGTAATCTACATGGGTTCCAGAACAACCCAACTCCAATCAAAAACTCCGAGACAGGCATCATCTCAATTCTTCCATTTATTAGAGTAGGTATACTGGCACATCTGGGAAAACCCGAATCTGAGAGTTCCGGTTTTTCCTCAGTAAATCAAAACCCCAAATTCAGCCCCTGCACCCATCAGTCTGTCACATGGTCCAATCATCATCCGTCCCAACTTGAACCATTCCTGCAACCACTCCTCCTCTAGATGTAGGAACACCATGACCTTGACCGAAGGGAAGAATGCTATTACGTCTAACTACAATTACTCTACTAAATCCCACCTCCTACTTTCCCAAGCGCAAGAAGGTGGCAGCGCGGAAACTTCCGGTGTTAATATGGCTTCCAAAGCTGACACATGGATTCCTAAGACCCTTAAGCAGCTGCTCAGGCACCCCAAGATCTGATCCAGGGCCTATGACTAAATATTACAACTACATTTGGAAAGTTCTTTGTGAGTTTGAGGCACAGGCCTTGGTTCTCATCCATTCCAAGGAACGGAAAAATCAGTCTTGAGCCAGGGAAATAAACGATGGTGAAGAAAAGCAGAGAAACATGAGTGCCATGTCCACTGAAAAAGTAAACTTGCCCATGTTGGGTGGTTTTTAAGATAGCCTGATTTTATCCAGCTGGGTTTCATAAATAAATATTACTCGGTGCCTTTTGTTCCACACTTATTTGGCTTCTTCATATTTTGCTCGGAAGACAATGTTACTTAAGCATCTCTGGCTGAGATATAATTGGAGCTTCTTATTCCCTTCTTCTTCTTCTTCTTCTTCTTGGGGGAGGAAGAGTTGGTTAAACAAGGCCAAAGATATGAGAAACACTCATTATTGCAAAAGGACACGCTGTGCTGAAACAAAATTTTCCAAGCCAGCTGCTATGGTGAGAATTTAGGTAGCTTCAAACTGGGGCCCGCAACCTTGGCAAGGTTTAAAACGTGTGGACTTCCTCAGTGGTTGGCTGAGGAATTCTGGGAGTTGACGTCCACATGTTTTTAAGTTGCCAAGGTTGGGGAGTTCGGCTTAGAACATTTCCTCCATACAGGTTGAGAATAAAAGATTCTCTCCTCTCTAAAACCCCCAAAGCCACTCAGAAACATTTGATAGTCAGATGGATGACCTATAGTAGGGGTCTCCAACCTTGGCAACTTTAAGCCTGGTGGACTTCAACTCCCAGAATTCCCTAGCCAGCAGCCAGCTGGGAAATTCTGGGAGTCTAGGCTTAAAGTTTCCAAGGTTGGAGACCCCCGACCTATAGTCAGTGGTGGGTTTCAAATTTTTTTACTACTGGTTCTGTGGGTGTGGCTTGGTGGGCGTTGCAGGGCTTGGTGGGCATGGCAGGGGAAGGATACTGTAAAATCTCCATTCCCACCTCACTCCAGGGGAAGGTTACTGCAAAATCCCCATTTCCTCCCGATCAGCTGGGACTTGAGAGGCAGAGAATAGATGGGGGCGGGGCCAGTCAGAATTTTTACTACCAGTTCTTCCAACTACTCCAAATTTCTGCTACCGGTTCTCCAGAACTGGTCAGAACCTGCTGAAACCCATTTCTGCCTATAACAATAGCATTTACACTTTTATACCGCTATACAATACTTTACAGCCCTCTCTAAGTGGTTTACAGAGTCAACCTCTTGCCCCCAACAATCTGGGTCCTCATTTTACTGACCTCGGAAGGATGGAAGGCTGAGTGGACTTTGAACCTGATGAGATTCGAGCTGCCAAATTGCAGCTCAACGGAAGTAGCCTGCCGTACTGCATTCTCACTACTGCGCCACCATGACACTATTTATTCATATAAATGAATAAAATCTGTAAAAGTTTGCAGGCTAATTACAGCTGGTATTCATTGCATGATAATTTTGATAGCAACATCGGTAAGTTACCCTATGTGGAAAAACCTCCAATCTCCCCTATGCATTTTCTTGATTATTTTTCCCCATCTGCTCATTTCTCTGGAAAGGGAAGAGAACATGAACCCAGGAGAAGTGTGTTTGAGGCCTTCCAAATTGCCACCTGCCTCCCAGACCGATGCGAACCAAACCGATAACATCTCCATGCCATCTTCTGCAGTTTAAGAAAGTACCTCCTGAAGTGGGCATTTGTGCCACCGAGCAGAGGAAAAATAATACTTCAAGCCAGTTATAAGGAGCCTCGTTTTGGATCTCTACAATTCTTTATCAACATACCTCCAGCTTTATTTTGCTGTTGTGAAGCAGGTGAGCTAGAGAGAGAGAGAGATGAAGTAGCCAAGGCAGCTTGATCAACTGATCACACTTAGCAGAACTGAGCTAACGTCTGGAGCAGCCAGCTGACTGAAGTTGTTTTTTGCTTCCATCTCATAAATGCAACGTGCCACTAGGCTGAATTGATCTTCAGTGTCACCTTGACATCTCACGAAAAGAACCAAGAGGAAAAAAGAGAGAGGGGGGAGAGAGAGAGAGGGAGAGAGAGAGAGAGAGAGAGAGGGAGGGAGGGAGGGAGGGAGGGAGAGAGGGAGGGAGGGAGAGAGAGAGAGAGAAAGAGAGAGAGAGAGAGAGAGAGAGATGAACTACTTCCAAGTTTCACCTCACAGGCAAATTATCCTATATGTGGAGCTGTGCTCTCCAGTTCTCAAATGATGATGAATTATTAGATCAAAAGAGCCTTTGCTTGGAACATCTTGTTGTTGTTCCCCAATAACTCCTGAACATCTTCCATTTGGCCTCCACAATTCATCATTAAAAATAACAAGCAATTGAGGTTTGTGTCTCCGATGCCAAACCGTCCCAATAACAATAAAGCTTCAGAGAAAGAAAAGCGACCAAGAGCAGCTTCCTCCAACACAAAAATTATGGAAATGTGGAGAAATGTCTTATTAGAAGTAAAAGCCAAGAAATAGCCATCAAAATGCAGTTGAAGACCAAATCCAAAGAGCTTTAGAGACCCTGCAGCGAGATACAGGAAGTGACAAATGAAGATGTCATCTAGCCAGCTTCAACCTGTGTAGACCTTCAGATGTTGATGAGTTACAACCCTTCGCAGTTGCTGCTCACCAGATAAGAGACGCTGGGAGTTGTAGTTCTGAAACACCTGGAAAGGGACAAGTTATGATGATGATGGTTTAGTCTACTTGTACACCGCTTCCCATCGTTCCAATCCCTGAAGCAGTTTGCAGTCAATCATTACCATGAAAAGCTCAACAGTTAAAAACGCATTCCATTTAAAAAGCAAGGGGAACATCTTGGGAGGGACCATGTAAGGTCGTTTTTCCACACTTGAACTAGACAACATCCTGAACCCAGAGCCATGGTATCCGTGCCTAGTCACAGTGATGCCAAAACAATGACATCTGCATTGTGATGACGTGACAGCCTTCTGTTTGTGTTCCACAATGTTGTTTGCAAGTATGTAGTAACAAGATCATGGTCAAAATCATGATGTCCATTGATGCAGATACCTGTTGCCTTAAGCACAATTGAGTTTCCTCACCGCTTGCGGCCCTTTTCCTAAAGGATCCTCCACTGTTGAATTATGTACCATTTCACTTTAAATTTGCACCAAATTTACTTCTACCCCTGGCACTCTGGGAAGCCACAGGTTGAACATGAAGAACTAGGGATAGGAGAAACGGCTCTTACAGGTATGGAAACTCTTTTGGCAACAAACCGAGGCTGTTCAAGAGATTTCTGGGGATGCAGATTCTGTAAAGTCCTTCTTTTCCTTAAGAGAAGAGAAGAGAAGAGAAGAGGAGGAGAGGAGAGGAGGGGAGGGGAGAGGAGAGAGAGGAGAGGAGAGAGGAATGGAATGGAATGGAATGGAATGGAATGGAATAGAATAGAATAGAATAGAATAGAATAGAATAGAATAGAATAGAATAGAATTATTCTATTATTCTATTCTGTTATTCTATTCTAGAATATAATAGAATAACAGACTTATTCAATTGGTTATCCAATCTCTTCTTAAAAACTTCCAGTGTTGGAGCCACCGAGTCTTCAGAGAGGGGCGGCATATAAATTTAATTAATTAAATTAAATTAAATTAAATTTACAACTTCTGGGGGCAAGTTGTTCCATTGATTAATTGTTCTAACTGTCAGGAAATTTCTTCTTAGCTCTAGGTTGCTTCTCTCCTTGATTAGTTTCCATCCATTGCTTCTTGTCCTGCCCTCAGGTGCTTTGGAGAATAGCTTGACTCCCTCTTCTTTGGGGCAGCCCCTGAGATATCGGAAGACTGCTATCATGTCACACCCCTGATCCTTCTTTTCATCAGACTAGACAAGGAGGCTGAAGCTTGTCAGCCGTTCCACTTGTGCATTTTCAAATCAGCAGAACAGTTGGTTAGCACCGCATGGCATCTCTTTCCGTAGGGTCTCTTTCTTTGTGTCGCATTCGCCAACTTGAACATTAAACGGGATGACGACATTAAAGAAAGACACGCTCATTTCAGGATGCACAAATAGACCTGCTTTGCTCCTCAGGGGGCTCCTGAATAATATATAGGATCAGATGGGACGTCCTGGGCTGTTGTCCCTTCTAAAAGGGCCCATTGAACTATATTTTTAAGGGTGACTTGAAGGAGAAAAATGGATGTAGAATAGAATAGAATAGAGCCAGAAGGGACCTTGCACTTGTAGTCCAGCCCCCAAGTATTACTCGAATTGAACCAAATTAATGTGCAGAAAATGTAAGTCGAATTATACTTGGTTCTTCTTCTACCCTACCACTCTCTCCTAGGTCATTCCCATTTTGGAATGCCAGCTGTAGGTTAAAGCAGGATACACACACCAATATTCACACCAAGAGCCTTGGTAGTACAGGGATTTAAGGCACCCTGTTATTAAGCTTATTAAGACCAGCTGCCTGCAATTACTGCAGGGTTCAAATCTCGCCAAGGCTCAAGGTTGGCTCAGCCTTCCATCCTTTCTAAGGTAGGTGAAATGAGGACCCAGTTTGTGGGGGCAATAAGCTGACTTTGTATAAAATATACAAAAGGATGAAGGCTATTGCTTAACACATTGTAAGCCGCCCTGAGTCTCCGGAGAAGGGCGGCATATAAATCAAATTAAAAAAAAAAATTCCCTTTCTTTCTGCCCCCTAACACATGCACCACCGTAAGGCAAAACATGAACTTTTGAAATCCTTGCTCAAAATGCAGATGGTTTTGGAAAGCAAATCTCATTATGCTCTGCCCCAAATGCCTGCATGTTAAAAAGGATCATATGATTTGCAGGATGTGCTGCTCGGACATCCAAGTTTTAAAAATAGAGGCCAAGTTTTCATTGCAGCAACTAAAGACTCATGATTAGGTTACACACATCACTTAGAAGGGACAGTCAAAAGCCGGAGTGGACTTCTGGGGCAAGTCTTTTTTGGGAGGAGGAAAACAACGAGAGAAGTGGTGGGAAAAACAGAGTCACTTCTGTGAGATGGGGGAGGGCGGTCATATACATTTGAGAAAGAAAAGAAAGAGAGAGAGAGAGAAAAAGGAAGAAAGAGAAAGAAAGAGAAAGAAAAAGAAAAGAGAAAATGAAAGAATGAAAGAAAGAAGAAAAGGGAAAGAAAGAGTGAGAATGAGAGAGAGAGAAAGAAGAGAAAGAAAGAGCAAGAGAGAGAGAGAAAGAAAGCAAGAGAAAAAGAGAAAAGAAAGAAAGAAAAGAAAGAAAGAAAGAGAAAGAAAGAGAAAGAGAAAGAGAAAAAGAAAAAGAAAAGCGAGGGAAAGAAAGTAAAAAAGAAGAAAAGGGAAAGAAAGAGTGAGAACGAGAGAGAGAGAAAGAAGAGAAAGAAAGAGAAAAAGAAAGAAGAGAAAGAAAGAGCAAGAGAGAAAAAAAGAGAGAGAAAGAAAGCGAGAGAAAAAGAGAAAAGAAAGAAAGAGAAAGAAAGAGAAAGAGAAAAAGAAAAGAGAAAGAAAGAAGAAAAGGGAAAGAAAGAGTGAGAACGAGAGAGAGAAAGATGAGAAAGAGAAAAAGAGAGAGAGAGAGAGAAAGAAAGAGAAAGAAAGCGAGAGAAAAAGAGAAAAGAAAGAGAAAGAAAGAGAAAAAGAAAAGAGAAAGAAAGAAAAAAGAAAAGGGAAAGAAAGAGTGAGAACGAGAGAGAGAGAAAGAGAGAGAAAGAGAAAGAGAAAGAGAAAGAAAGAAAGCAAGAGAAAAAGAGAAAAGAAAGAATGAAAGAGAGAGAGAGAGAGAGAGAGAGAGAGAGAGAGAGAGAGAGAGAGAGAGAGAGAGAGAGAGAGAAAGGGATGTAGAGTCACTACAGGTAGCCCTTGACTTACAACAGTTTACATTCAATTACATACAATTGGGAAGGATACTATAAATCTCCATTCCCTCCCCAATCCAGGGGAAGGTTACTGCAAAATCCCCATTTCCTCCCGATCAGCTGGGAGGCAAAGAATAGATGGGGGGCGGGGCCAGTCAGAATTTTTACTACCGATTCTCCGAACTACTCAAAATTTCCGCTACCGGTTCTCCAGAACTGGTCAGAACCTGCTGAAACCCATCTCTGTTTTTACCCCAAAGGACTCTTCTTATGAGGCCTCTGGAGAGAAGAGCAGCATTTTTTGGAAATGATAACAATTCCAGACAAGAGGCCCGCCTGTTGACTTTATTTAGTTTTGTTTGTTTGTTTTTAATGAATATCTGAACGATCAACAAAACAAATATCCTGGACCTCTAAGTACGTAATCTAAGTTGCTTTTGTTGAAGGAACTGTAAAGAAAAACATAAAATTCCTCAGGTCCAGATGCTTAAGCGGGAAGAATAATAAAAACAAAATGGTTGCCTGAGGTCACCTCAGGTTGGTTGAAACTAGGAGTCCGGAAGCGCCTTTTCGGCCCAACCAATTTAATTCAAAATAAGAAGAAGCTTTTGTGAGCTGCGGCTGATTTCATGGAACACAAACAGAGGCTTCTGGCTTTGAATATAATTTGCCCTTCAAAAAAAAAAAGAAGATGCTATTTGCCTTCTTCTGATTTTTATAGACAAGGGGTCAGCAACCTGCGGCTCTGGAGCTGCATGTGGCTCTTTCATCCCTCTGCTGCAGCTCCCTGTCACTCAAAATATGCATCACAACCGCCAATGTGCGACACCTGCCGGCACGCAATTTGTTGAGCTTTTCAACCCCCGGTAGGCCAACCATGGATAAATCCAAGAAAAGAAAAGTTTCAGTAGAAAACAGAACATTTAATTCAACTCCATATGCTAATTTTGTGGCTGCTCAAGAAATAGTCAGGCACGGGGAGAGTTTTGTGGCTCCCGGTGTTTTCTTTTCTGTGGGAAACGGTTCCAAATGGCTCTTTGAGTGTTTAAGGTTGGAGACCCCTGTTATAGACGATGCTTTTACAGACTAACACGGCTGTCTCCTGTATTACTATTATTTTTATTTTCCACCTATTAGGTTTAAAGAAATTGAAATGCAGGTAGACCTCTGCTTACAACAGTTCGCTCAGTGACCATTCAAAGTGACAACGGGACTGAAAAAAGTGACTGTTATATGACCGTTTTTCACACTTAGGACCTTTCCAGCATCCCCCTGGTCACATGATTTTACATTCAGGTGCTTGACCATGGACTCACATTTATGACAGTTGCAGAATCCTGGGATTATGTGACCACCACCACCCCCTTTTGTGACGTAGTCAATGGGGGAAGCCAGATTCGCCGAACAACCCTGTGACCAATTTAACAACTGTAGTGATTCACTTAACGAATGTGGCGAGAAAGGTTGAAAACGGGGCAAAACTCAGTTAACCAATGTCTCATTTAGCAATATCAATTTTGGGCTCAATTGTGGACGTTCAGTTGAGGACTTGTTGTTGTTGTTAGTTGCAAAGTCATGTCTGACCCATTGTAACCCCATGGACAACGTTCCTCCAGGCTTTCCTGTCCTCCACCATCCTCTGGAGTCCATTGAAGCTCGCGCCGACAGCTTCAGTGACTCCATCCAGCCACTTCGTTCTCTGCCGTCCCTTCTTCTTTTGCCCTCAATCCTTCCCAGCATTAGGCTCTTCTCCAGGGAGTCCTTCCTTCTCATTAGGTGGCCAAAGGATTTGAGTTTCCTCTTCAGGATCTGGCCTTCTAAAGAGCAGTCAGGGTTGATCTCCTCTAGGACTGACCAGTTGGATCGCCTTGCAGTCCAAGGGACTCGCAGGAATCTTCTCCAGCACCAGAGTTCAAAGGCCTCCATTCTTTGGCGCTCAGCCTTCCTTATGGTCCAACTTTCACAGCCATCCATTGCAACTGGGAAAACCATAGCCTTGACTATACGCACTTTTATTGGCAGGGTGATGTCTCTGCTTTTTAGTATGCCATCTAGATTTGCCATAGCTTTGCTCCCCAGGAGCAAGCGTCT